TCCCCCCCCCCCCCCCCCCCCCCGTAAGGTGGCCCTGGATGCAGTCAAATTCAGGGAAGTGCATGGCAGAATGGGGTAACTAAACCTCCAGCTTTTGGCAAGAGGACTGAAAAGGGAAGCCTCAAAAAAAACAGAAAGCACTTGGGAGAGAGATTCAGGAAAGCAACATGAAGGTGTTTATAAAACTGAATTAACAGATAAACCACTGCCTAGGTCATAGACTGACCTGAGGATCGTACACACAGGGATGGATCTGAATAGTATCACAAAGACTTTGAAAAGTGCACTGCGTTGGCCCACAGAAAGTGGGTTGGAACCTGTAGTCTAAACCTAACCAGGTCAAATGCCTGCTAAAAAATATCAAAATTCTTCATAGGATTTAAATTAAGACTCAGAATCTCATATTATACTATTCAAAATGTTTAAATGCAACACAAAATTACTCTACATACAAATATACAGGAAAATCTCAACTCATGTGAGAAAAGACAACAGATAGAGTACTAAAATGACACAACTGTTGAAATTGATTGATTAAAGCAACTAGCATTGCTGGTGTGGCTCAGTGGTTGACCATCAACCTAAGAACCAGGAGGTCATGGTTCGATTCCCAGTCAGGGCACATGCCTGGGTTGTGGGCTTGATCACCAGTGTGGTGTATGCAGGAGGCAGTGAGCAAAAGCCACCTGAACGACCAGTGGCAAAAGCCACTTAAACAGTAATTTTGACAAATTCCTGGAGGACTGGTGTGGCCCAGTGTGAGAATGAGAAACTCCCTGGTTGCCTCCCTCTCCCTCTCTCTTCCTATCTGAAATCAATTCAAAAACAAAAAGATTAAAGTAGCCACTATACAAATGTTCCAACAAGCAATTATGACTGCTCTTATGATAAACAGAAAAACAAAGTCTTAGCAAATAAATAGGTATAAAGAATAAAATGGAAATTTAACACTGAACAATAACTGAAATTAAAAATCACAGAAATTAAAACACTTAATAGCAGAATAAAAATGCCAGAGAAGTCTGGCTGCCTGGTGTTGCTCAGTGGTTGGGTGTCGACCCATGAACCAGGTCATGGTTCGATCCCTAGTAGTGTGGGAGGCAGCCGATAGATGATTCTCTCTCATCATTGATGTTTCTATCCCTCTCCTGTACTCTCTCGGAAATCAATAAAAACATTTTTTTAAATGCTAGAGAAAACAGTCAGTGAAACTGAAGACAGATGAACAGAAATTATCCAATCTGAACAATAGAGAGAAAAAAAAATAGAAAAACTGAACAAAGCCTCAGGGACTTGTGAGACACTAATAAAAGTTCTAAGATTCATGTCCCAAAAGGACTGGAGTAAGAGTATGATGCTGAAAAAAGTATTTGAAAAGATAATGTCTGAAAACAACCTAAATTTGGTGGAACACATAAAACTACATGTTCAAGAAGCTTAGTGAACCCCAAATCAGATAAATACTAAGAAATACATGCCCAGCCACATTATAATCTAACTGCTGAATACCAAAGACAGAAAAACATCTTGAAAGCAACCAGAGAAAAATGCATTATTTATATGGGAAAAAAATAATTCAAATCACTGCACGTTATTCATCAGATACCATGGAGGTCCAAAGGAAGTGGTACAAAAGATGGCAGTATAGGTAAACGCCGGTACTCGCTGCCTCCTACAACCACATCAAAATTACAGCTAAAATACAGACCATCCAGAACTTCCTGAAAGCTGGCTGAATGGAAGTCCTCCACTAGAGGAAAAAAAAAAAAGTCCTGCCCTAACTGGTGTTGCTCAGTGGATGGAGCATCGGCCTGCAGAATGAAGGGTCCCAGGTTTGATTCCTGTCAAGGGCATGTACCTTGGTTGCGGGCACATCTCCAGTAGGGGGTGTGTAGGAGGCAGCTGATCAATGTTTCTCTCTCATTGATGTTTCTAACTCTCTATCCCTCTCCCTTTCTCTCTGTAAACAAAGCAATAAAATATATTTTTTAAAAAAGAAGAGAGATTTCTTAAAAAAAAAAAAAAAGAAGAAGAAGAAGAAGCAGCCCTACAACTAGACTGGTAGGAAGGGTGGAGAGGTGGAATATGCTGCTTTGGCACCCACATGGGCCATCTGTTTAATCCAGAGGGAGACTGTCCCTGCTGACACCACCATGAAGAGCAAGGGGTCCCAGACCCATACCAGATCCCCAGCCCACAGTCCTAGAACTAGGAAGAGAAATCCCCGTAACTTCGGGCTGTAAAAACCAGTGAGGATTGTGGCTGCAGGACACGGAGGCTGCTGGAGACCCAGGTGTTCCTCTTAAAGGGCCAGGCACAAACTTACTTGGACTCACTTCCTCTGAGATCCAGTGCCCTGAGTCACTGGGGAACCCAGACACATACTAGGAGGAACTGGATTGTCTGGCATCAGGGCAGGAACTTGGGGGTGGCCTTCTACCAGATGGAGGTGCTCACAGGGGTCATTGGTCCTATGCTGAGACCTCCCCTGTCCCAGGGCTGACTGGCAACCATATCTGAGTCGCCATCAACCTGGAGAACACTGTTTGCTCCACCATGGTGATTCTCTGAGTCCCCGCCCCATCTAATTTGCAACCCCACCCAAGCTGTTTGCAGCAGCTTTTCCATATGAATGGCCTGTCCTGGCTCAGACTTCAGACTTTGCTAAAATCTCTCAAACAAGCTTCAGCTGGTGTCAGGGTGCCCCAAATCTATCAGTAAAAGGCCCAAGACCTGGCACTAGTACCAGCCTTCCTTGCTTCACAGCTGGGCCTCACCTGGGCACTTCTTAGCCCAATACAAACAGCAGCCATCGCAGATCTCTCTGTAGCTCCTGCTGGGTGGCTCTCGGAAGTGGCTAATTTTGCACCTTCCTGAAGGCCCTCAAGCCAGTGCACCCAGTGGACAGCTTCAGACATACCAGATTACAACTCTATATATTCACAAGCGACACAATCAAGGGGCAGACTCAGTGAGTACTAAAGCCCTACTGAAGCAAGTCCTGCTCCATAAGGGTGTTTCCTGCACAGTAGCTCTCCCACTGTAGCCACAGCTGGTCCTCACAGCCAATTGGCCTGGAAGTCAATTCCCCCCAGTGATGCCAACAGCAATCAAAGCTCAACTACAAGACTGCACACAGCCCACAGAGGTGCACCTAGAGGGCCCAGCTCAGGTGCCTGGAGAGACTGAGACACGGCCGTATAGACACCTACTACATAAGGCCACTCTACCAATTCCAGGAGACATAGCAGCTCTACCCAAACACACACAGGGAAGCAGCCAAAATGCAGAGACAAAGAAAAATAACACAAATGAACGTAATGGAAGAAGGCAAACTACTGGATACAGAGTTCAAAAACATAGCTATAAGGTTACTCAAGGGTCTTTAAGGAACTTAGTGAGACTTTCAAGGATCTTAGTGAGAATTCCAAAGACATGGAAAAGGACCATTCAGAAATTAAGCATACACTAACTGAAACAAAGAATAATTTACAGCGATTCAACAGTAGAGTAGAGGATTCAAATCAACAATTTGAAATATGAGGAAGCAAAAAACACCCATGACATGATTCTCTTAGAAAATCCCAAGGAATCCAAGTAAACCCCTAAAGTAAGCAAGTTTAGCAAGGTCGCAGGATATAAGGTTAACATAAACGTTAACCATATTTCTATACACTATCAATGTACAACTGGAAACATGATTATTGTATAGAATAAAGTTCAATGAACTACAGTGGGGCCTTGACTTACAAGTGTCCCGACTAACGAGTTTTTCGAGATACGAGCCATCTCTCGGCTGATGTTTTGCTTTGAGTTGCGAGCTAAAATTCGGGTTACGAGCCAGCTTCAGATACCCCACCGCTAGTTGGCGCAGCGAACATCACAGTGAACGCCACAACATCAGCCCAGCATCACGTGTCTCGCTTGTTCACTTTAAGATTTGACATACGAGTAATTTGAGTTATGAGCTCCGTCACGGAACGAATTAAACTCATAAGTCAAGGCCCCACTGTAATTACAAGTCAAATGGAGTCCCTCTAATTTCGATACACAGCTAGTTATCACATAAGTGTTTCTACTTCATCAACTAGTTAATTAACTAGCCTATGGATTACCTAGAAAAGAGTTGCTATCCTTTTAACAGTGTAAATATTATCTCAAAAGAGACCCTTTGCTTCCTGGAAAGAGTACCAACACACGGGTTAGGACTGAGGGCAGCTTGATCTCCTTTACTTACTGCTTGAGACTTTCCTTAGAGGAATGCAAGGTTCTTTTTCTTCCTCCAGCAGCTCAGCACTTTGTAGGAGAGCATGGATCTCTGGCCGTAGGTCATCCACAGTAGCTTCCCCTGAAGCCAGTGCTCTGCAGTGCAGTACCAAGGCAACATCTTGGTTATAGAAGTGAAAGTACCGGCATACTCTACTGGCTTCATGCACACAGCCATCATCCAACAGGCGCCCAATCAAAAAGTTTAGTGACTCCTGCTCCTTCCAATCTAGTCTGTTCTCACAAGTCTCTTTGGATGGAAGGCCATTAAGTTCTAAATATTTTGATGTGTTCAGGGCAGCCAACTTGGAGAATGAAAACTCACTGGCTAAGCTGTCAAAGGAAAGTTCACCACTAGCTGAGATCTGCTGAGAAAATGTGGGTTCTCTTTCCTCCTGGTTTCCTCTGAGGGTGTGCTGGGTGATACGGCAGAGCCAGATCTGCTTCTCCAGCTCCTCCAGCTCCTCCAGCGGGACCAGGTCCTCCTGAGCAAGCCAATGTCCTGCCAGGGTGAGCAGCAGCTGGCACTCCTCGGCGCTGCTCTGTCCCTCCTCAGTAGGGTACTCACGCGCCACAAGGGCCTGGGCTGAGAAGAAGGAAGAAGCTGCTTTGCTTGAAATGGAATTTTTCTTAAAATTCTCATGGCATTTTTTCCAGAAGTCAATTCTTGTTTGTTTCAGGGACCACTGGTCAATGTGTTTTAAGGTCTGCATTTCCTGTGTTACCTGTGAAATTTTATTAAAAAGTATCATAAATGCTACTGTTCCCTAATTACACCATACTTTTTAAACCCAAGTCAAAGAATATGAGGCATGGCTACAGATGTTTCTGGGTATTTTATCTGGAAAGTTAAGGTATGGAAAACAATTTTAAATTTATCCAATTGAATGGGGTTCAAGGAGAAGCCACCTAAGCTAACCTTGTATTTAAAGTGTACATTCTTGCCCAGCCGGTGTGGCTCAGTGGTTGAGCATCGACCTATGAACCAGGAGGTCATGGTTCAATTTCCAGTCAGGGCACATGTCCAGGTATCAGGCTTGATCCCCAGTTGGGGTTGTGCAGGAGGCAACCGATCAGTGATTCTCTCTCATCATTAATGTTTCTATAGCTCTCTCCCTCTCCCTTTCTCTCTGAAATCAATAGAAATGTTAAAAAAAAGAAGAAGAAATCATTGATGAAATAG